GGACTATAGGCGCCTGCCACAACACCCGGCTATTTTTTTGTTGTAGTTGTCATTGTTTTTTGGCAGGCCTGGGCAAGGTTTGAACCTGCCAGCCCTGGTATATGTGGCTAGCGCCCTAGCCGCTGAGCTACAGGTGCCGAGCCTGTCAAAATTTATTGCACATACATTTCAGGTTACTCAAAAACCTTCTCAGAGTAATTAGAAGAAAAACAGTTTTATTTTTTAAGATAGCTATATATTGGTTTTATTTTGAGACAGAGCCTTAAGCTATCCCCCTGGGTAGAGTAACCTGGCATCACAACTCATAGCAACCTCCAACTCCTGGGCTCAAGCGAGTCTCCTGCCTCCACCTCCCAAGTAGCTGGGACCACTGGCACCGGCCACAATGCCTGGCTATTTTTTGGTTGCAGCCATCATTGTTGTTTGGTGGGCCCGGGCTGGATTCAAACCCACCACCTTAGGTGTATGTGGCTGGCACCTTAGCCACTTGAGCCAGAGGGGACGAGCCAAGATAGCTATTTTAAAAACAAAATCTAAGTAAAAATTAAAATAATGGCATAGCTCATATTTAAGACTATTTACTTGAGGAATCTAAATTCTGATTCGTTATAGCCACCTAACCAGAACCCCCAAATAACCAAAATTGTTACTGCTCTCTCTTTATAAGAGTTGAACAAAACAATCTAATAGTGAAAGGATTCATTCCAAAAGGGCTTACCCATTAGCTCAACCTCCCATTCCTTTCCCAGTAAAACACTGATGCCTGACGTTCATAACCAGCACTATAAGGTACCACAAGATTCCCCAACAAGAGGGCTTCATGTTCTCTATGCTGTACTAAGACCACAAAAAGCATTTAAGAAGGAATCTCAGTTAAAGTCCAGTGAAAATTTTCTTGGATAAAATCCTGAACTCACAAGCATAAATGCAAGCATTCAATGCACATTTGCTGAGGGCCTGCCTACTAAGGAACATGCTGTGGCCTCGTGGTCACAGACAAGAAAGCAAAGTCTCCTACTTCATGGGGCTCACATCGAGTAGGAGGGATAGACAATAAATACCAATCTATTCATCAAGTGACCTTACAAAATAATGAGGGGACAGTGTGGCAGATGGCATGTGCTACTAGGAATCTTGACAAGGCCATTTCCACTAGGAGGTGGCAATTGGACAGAGACCTGAGAGAAGTGAGGAAGCAGATTATGGGCAGGATCTGGGGAAGCAGCTCACAGGCAGGGCCATTTATGGCACTGTGAGGGACCATCTGCTGTGTTTAAGGACTAGGAACAATTAAGCCAGCAGTTTGGAACAGTGTGTTCAAAACAGAGAAGGGCAGGAGGTGAGGACACAGAAACAGCAGGCACCACATCAGAACCATGTCAGAAAAGCCACAGAAGGGAATCTGGGTTTTATTGAGTAAAACCAGCAGCAAAGTCACAAAATCTGAGGTATGATTAAAAGGTTCATCTTGGATACTGCTTTACTGCAGAAAGACTGACAAGGGCAGAGGCAGGGAAACCAGTGAGAAGCCTACTGATGTGGTCCTGGCAGGAGAGACGGTGCCATAACCAGGGCGGCAGCCACAGAAGGGATGAGAAGGGCTCAGCCTGGATGTGCTCTGAAGTCAGAGGCACGGGACTGGAGGGGAGGCCTGGGGGTGTGAGTCATGGGGCAGAGGTCTGGAGCACTCAAGGGACACAGGGAAGTCCAGCAAAGGAGACCCAGAATGAGCAGCTGAGGATGTGAGGGGGACAGAAGAAGGACTCCCGGACACCAAGTAGTGCCAAGGCTCCTCAACTGAAGCTGCCCAGGGCCACATGACCTGTCAGAGGGAGGCCATGCAACCTTGACCAGAGCAGTCTCAATAGAGCAATGGGACAAACCCTCACCAGGGTGTGTTCAAAAGAGAACAAGGGAAGTCAAGGTCCAAGTGCAGACAACTCCCCAGAAAGGTTAGCTGCACAGGGTGAGGAGAAATGGGGCAGAAGCAGAGGAGAGGGCCATGTGGGACCAACAAAAGGCTTGGCTTTTTAAAGATGGTAGAAGTAACAAAATGCCAATATGAGTGGCCTGCCAGAGAGGAAAACTGATGACAGGGGAAACAGAACCGACCGCTGGAGCAGCGTCCCTGACAGACAACGAGGCACAGGAGAGGGTACACTGCATGCAGTCCAGACATGGGGAAAGGGACAGTGTCAGGGGCAGGGATGGAGCACAACCCCCTCCTGAAACTTCTACTCCATCAGGAGAAAGGAACCAAGGCCAGCTGAGAAGGACCACAGCAGGAGTCTGGGGGCCTGAGGAAAGAGAAGGATGAATGGTCCTGTGCAGAGAAGGGACATGAGGGAAGCAAGTGGCCAGGGAATCTAGAACAACTGCCCACAGCACCAAGGGCGCACTTGAAGTTCAGGATCACGAACTGAAAGTGAGCCCGGGCAATATGACCCACTACTCTTTGGGGGCAAATTCCCCTGCCCGGGTGCGAGCCTGAAGCAGAAGGAAAGCTGGACTTATCAAGGCTGGGGGCTTGGTGTGCTCCCACTTAATGGGCACAATGTAAGAGTGTATGACACACCTCTTGGGTGCAGGACACAACTACAAAAGGGACTATACCTAACAAATGCAAACACTGTAACCGAGTTGTTTGTACTTTGACATTAGTCTGCAAAAATAAATAAATAAAAGGCTGGGGTTTTGTTAAGAAGGCTGACAAAGAGCAGGTGTTAGTGCCTGCTGGACCTACGGGATCTAAGCTAAAGGGAGGGGACATCAAACAAGGAGGGACAATGGAAGGTTACCAGGGTCAAAAGGCCAGAGGCCATATTAAGGTCAAAAATGACTGAAACTGACAGAGAGTAAACAGGAAAGAGGAGATAACAGCTGAAAAATGGACTGCTTAACACTGAGGTTGTGAAGGGTGCAGTTATAATAATCAGGAATAGAAAATGACCACAGGACTCAGCAGCTGAAATGAGGTGAAAGGCCAGGGCCAGAGAGGTGAGGAAATGACATCGGGTTACTTGAAGGCCCACCCACATGGCTGCTGACACCACAGGGACAAAGCCGAGAAGGAGAACAGTGAAGCAGGTGTTTAGAGTTAAGGGAGGAGGGAGAAATCTGAGAGCTCTCACGTGACTGCAGTAAGAAGATACAGAAGATGATCCAATCTGAAGCTTGAGCTTCAGGAATCACAGGTTTTAGGGAAGAAGGAAAAACAAGATCCTGCGTGGTGGCTCACGCCTATAATCCTAGCACTCTGGGAGGCCGAGGCAGGTGGATTGCCTGAACTCACAGGTTTAAGACCAGCCTGAGCAAGAGTGAGAGCCTGTCTCTAAAAATAGCCAGGTATTGTGGTAGGCACGTGTAGTCCCAACTACAGGCGTCCACCTTGGAGGCTGAGGCAAGAGAATCCCTTAAGCCCAAGAGTTTGAGGTTGCTGTGAGCGGTGACACCATGGCACTCTACCGAGGGGTGACAAAATGAGACTCTGTCTCAAAAAATAAATAAATAAATAAATAAATAAGGATAAGATGAACAAGTTTTCTCATACTTATACCCAATGATTCACAGGTGTGAGGAAGAAAAAAACCTGTCTAGGAGGGCCCAGCAGAAGTAGGCCCTCAGGCACAGACAGCTGCCCCTCAGAAATGTTGCTGACTTGGCATTTAATCCACTGTCTCTTACAACACTCAAATGTAATCATAAAAGTGTAACTGTATTGTCTAGAGAACAGAAAATGGTTTATACCAACCAGGCACAGGGGCTCACGCCTGTAATCCTAGCACTCTGAGAGGCCAAGGCAGGAGGACTGCTGGGCATTGCGGCAGGTACCTGTAATCCCAGCTTCTTAAAAAAAAAAAAAAAATTGGAAAGCCAGGTGCAGTGGCTCACGCCTGTAATTCTAGCATTCTGGGAGGCCAAGACAGGTGGACCACCTGAGCTCAAGGAGTTCAAGACCAGAAGACCAGACTGAGCAAGAGTGAAATCCTGTCTCATAAGCCAGGCATTTTGATGGGTACCTATAGTCCCAGATACTCAGGAGGCTGAGGCAAGAGGATTGAGCCCAAGAGTTTGAGGTTGCTGTAAGCTGTGATGCCATGGCACTCTACCAAGGGCAACAAAGTGAGACTGCCTCCAAAAAATTTGATTTAAACTTCAAGAATCAGTTTACATTTTAATCATCTTTTAAAGTTGATTATTTATTCATATAACTATTAAAAAGTTACTGGAATTCAAATTCAAGGTCTTCATTGGAAGATACCAATATGTGGAAATCTTTTAACAACATCTTATAATTTTTCCCTAAGGCATTTGTATTATGATACTGAGAAGTTTCCATTTTCTCAAGGCCATATGCAGATGGACTGAATCACCAGCCTGGAGATTCTGTGCTTTTCGACATCACCAGTACTTACTTTACAATGCCATAACCCAAGCTCACGATGATCACAAGGAGGCGAGCCAACGTCCTCTTAACCGCAGATATCAACTCCGCAAATATCAATAAACTTTGGGCTGAGGGAGAAAAAGAACATAATATGCTTTGTTCACATCTAGAAGCTAGCCAGCCAAGACTCTAAACATTGACTGTGTACCTCAGACTAACTGGATGACTTTGACTATTCCAACAGATGTTTGAAAATTTCAGGGAAGAGGAATTCAGTCCATATCTATCTGATCAGTTCTACTGAGTACATTTTTCTTTTGTCAATCTGAAACCTATCTTCCTGAGCTTCCCTCTGTTCATGTTCTTCCCTTTGAGGCTACATAGAACCCTCTCTCTCCTTGTCCTATAAATATTTGAAAACCATAACATCTTCTAGAGTTCTATTTTCTGCAAGATGGTAGCCCTTTATTCACTTAAGGTATTGGTTACGTTCCAACCATGTGGCTATAATAGTAAAAGAGACGCCTTGATCCCTGCCTCCATGGAGCTTATACTCTGGTTAGGTCAAGTAAATATAATAGAATTTAGCATGGTAAACAAAATTTAAGTGCTAGAATAATATGCATACACTGGCATGTGAGAGTCCAGGTACCTCTTCAAGCCCCCTAGCACCACCTCAGACAGGGGGCTTGGATTCCCTGAGGACAGCAAATGGCCTCTCCTCTCTTCCTGGATCTCAGTTTTTTGTTGCTCCTCATTAAAGTTCACCCTTTACCCTCACCAGATAAGAGATCAACACCACTAACAGCAAGAGTGGAACTGCCTTCTCTGACTTCCAAGAATGCTTCAATCCGAAGCAGCAGACCTACCCTTCCTTGGTTATCTAGTCTGAAGTACACGCACACATAAAAATCATAAAAAATTCTTGAGGTACAATAATACCTCTAATATGCATCCCTGGATGTTTACCTTTTCTTTATCCTTAGGTATATGTTCTTCTAAACTTTTTGTCAAGAAATTTCAAATATTTCCCAGCAGAGAGAGCAGTAGGATGAATTTCTATGTATTCATATGAATATGCATATTATTCTAGTGCACTCTTCAGCACTTTTAACCCTTTTGAGCTATCTCCCTTTCTAAAGGTTCAGAGGTGGAGTTGTACCTTACTTCTCTGGCCTCCTTGAAATCTACCTCCTAGAAGTCTGGGGCACACACCTGAGCAGGCCTAACTGCATGCCCTTCCTGCTTCATACACTCCATGGCGCAAACTGTGAGGGTCCCTCAACTGGTCATGTGAAGATATTTGCAAGATGGAAGAGAAAACACGAGAAGTTCCAGGCACCACCCATTCCAGCATCATTGATTTTACTCCCTATGACCAAATTTCTTTCCTTTTTCTTTCTTTTGTTTTTAGAAAGAAAAGAAGATGGATGAAGAAAAGGAGAAATATGTTAAAAAGGACTGAAGTCTGCGTGTCCAGAACTTTGTGTTGTTTTAACCCAAGCTGAACCTTAGGAAATGGGAATTTTCTTTTTCCCAGGAGGAAACTGAGGGGAAAGTTAGCAAGAAGGAAAATAGAAAATGAAGAGAACACACATGCTAGCCCAGATTAGAGTCCTGCTCTGACATCTCTTCTTGGCTTCCCTCCTATTCATCTACAATATGGCTATTTCCAAAACACTGTACAGAGCAGGGCCGGCCTCCCACAGTGCTGCTCACAAGTACTAGGAAACGCTGGTATTTATAGAGATAGTCAAAACTTACTTGGTAGTCCAGTGCTGTTGAGGTTTTGGTATTCAGAATAAAAAACTGCTTTTTCAAGCATTCCTAGGAAAATAACAGCTGCAATCCAGAACTGGATTCTTAATATATCCTTCCAGTAACAGGCAGACCACGTCAGCCAGAGTATGCCATATAATATATAAACAATACACATCACCATGTAAAACTGTAGGAAGAGAAGCAATTTTAGTCAGTTAAGCCTTTTGATCATTTAAGAGCTGGTGTTTCTACATTCAACTATCGAATCCTTCATTTTCCACTAACTCTGGAAACAGAAATACGTCAAAGAATTAGCTACTAAGGGATTATTACCACCAACCTCTTAATACTTAAAAATTTTCCAATTAGGATACAAAATCCATTTTTTAAAAAAGGAAAAAAAGATGAGAAATACTTACAATCATTAGAGGCCAATCTGATGCAGAGATATATCCATGAGGCCCAGTCATAGAAAGAGAAACTGGTAACATAGGGACAGAGAAGAAGAAAGGAAAGAGTTAATTAACAGTCAGTCTTTCCAAAGTCTTTAAATGCAAGCTTATTTCCCAGAAGGCTCCAAGGATACAGACCACACTAACAAATACTGAACTTGTTCATAGCACACACAGGATATCAGACTATTAGCAACTGTTTGATTATGTGATCTTATCAAAGACGCCTTTTACTATAAGATCAGACAGAAACTCTTAAAACGCCTGAAAAACATAGGGAGAAGACCTGTAATCCTAGCACTCTGGGAGGCTGAGGTGGGTGGACTGCTTGAGCTCAGGAGTTCAAAACCTGCCTGAGGAAGAATAAGACCCTATCTCTACTAAAAATAGAAAAAGTAGCTGGGTGGGTGGCACCTGTGGCTCAGTAAGTAGGGTGCCAGCAGCATATATCAAGGGTGATGGGTTTGAACCTGGCCTGGCCAAACTGCAACAAAAAATAGCTGGATGTTGTGGCAGGTGCCTGTAGTCCCAGCTACTCAGGAGGCTGAGGCAAGAGAATTGCCTAAGCCCAAGAGCTGGAGGTTGCTGTGAGCTGTGATGCTATGACACTCTACCAAGGGTGACAAAGTGACACTCTGTCTCTTAAAAAAGAAAAAGAAAAACTAGCCAGGTGTTATTTGGGGTGTGTGTGTGTGACTGTAGTCCCAGCTACTGTGGATGATGAGGCAAGAAGACCTCTTGAGTCCAAAAGTTTGAGGTTGCTGTGAGCTATGATGATGCCACAGTACAGTACTCTACCCAGGTCAACAAAGTAAGACATTGTCTCAAAAATAAAGAAATATATATATATATATATACACACACACACACACACACGTGGGGAAAGTATTAAAAAAGTATATATATGGGAAAAATTATACAACATTGACCTGACCAGTAATTTTTTGGATTTGACCCCCAAAGCACAGACAACAAAAGCAAAAATAGGCAAACGAAACTACATCAAACTAAAATGCTTCTACACACCAAAGGAAACAACAGTATCCAGAGACAGCCTACAGATTAGGAGATGGCATCTGCAAGTCATATATCTGATAAGGAGTGAATGTCTAAAATATATAAGAAGTTCAAACAGCTCAATAGCAAAACACCCAATTAAAAAATGAGCAAGGGACTTGAATAGACATTTCTCAAAAGGAGACATACAAACAGCCAGCAGATATATAAAAAATGTTCAACATCACTAATCATTAGGGAAATGCAAATTAAAACCATAATGAGATATCATCTCACAACTGTCAGAATGGCTCTTACGAAAAAGATGAAAGATTCCAAGTATTGGTGAGTATGTAGAAAAAGAGAACTTGTATACTGTTGGCGGAAATGTAAATTAGTACTGCCCTTATTACAGAAAACAATGTGGAAGATCCTCAAAAAACTAAAAACAAATACATTGTATTAAAAAAAAAGAAATATCATGGGGTGGCACCTGTGGCTCAAAGGAGTAGGGTGCCAACTCCATATGCCAGAGGTGGTGGGTTCAAACTGAGCCCCAGCCAAAAAATGCAAAAAAAAAAAAAAAAAAAAAAGGAAAGACATATCCTTATGAACCAACAACCCCACCACCCAGTATTTCTCCAAAAGATTTGAACTCAGTTTGTTGAAGAGATGCCTGCATCCCTATGTTAATTACAGCATTATTCACAATAGCCAAGTTAGGGAATCAACCCAGATCTCCATCAACAGAGGAATGCATAAAGATGTCATAGATATACACAGTGGAATACTACTCAGCCTTTTACAAGACGGAAATGTTGGCATGTGCAACAACATGATGGAAATGGAGAACATTATGCTAAGTGAAATGGAGTCAGGTACAGACAGACAAATACCACATATTCTTGCTTGTCTGTGGAATCCAAAACAACTGAACCCACAGATAGAGAGAGTAAGACCATGGTTACAGAGGCTGAGGAGAGGCACGAGGATTATGGTCAAAAGGTAAAAACAAAACCTCAGAAGCAGAGCTTGGTGGCATAACCTGTAGTCCCAGCTATCTGAGAGGCAAGAGGACTCCTTGAGCCCAGGAGTTTGAGTCCAACCTGGGCAACATGGTCAGACCCTATCCTGAATAAGTAAGCAGGCAAGCAAGTACACACTAAGGGCTGTACCAGACACTGAACCTGCTGGGGTCTTGATCGTGAATTTCTCAGCCATCATAACTGTGAGGAAATAAATTTCCATTCTTCAAAAATTACCCAGTATCAGGTATTTTGCTATGGCAGTAAAAACAGACTAATTGAGCAGTTAGCAGAATGGTAGGAAGGTCCCTGCTCCCTCTCTCGGGCATGGATGCCCTACTTCACATTCTTCCAGAGCCCCCAGCACTAGCTTCCCTCCATAGGCCACGCAGTGCACCTGCTCTGCACCTTCTCTGCAGCAACGCTCATCTTGCTCACTGGTTTCTGCATCTTCCCTAGAACTGGGCACTCTTCAGAGACAAAGCCTGGCTTCAGCTCTGTATCCCCAGCAGATGAATCAGAGCAACATGCAAGCCCCCAGAACCTTCATATGCTGTTGGGTTACTCTTGGCCCAGCAGATAACCACTCTGGAAGACATAAGCCAAATATGTGAAAGTAATTATTCCCTTAAAAATTGCTGACTGTGAGCCCACTCAGTGGCACTAAGAAACTACAGCTTAATGAGACACAGAAGGTCTACCTCATAGATGCTGGAAGCCACAGCTGGGAGACATGCTACTTCTACTCCTAGGCTAGACAGAGCCATTGTAATAAAAGTTGTCAAATGAAACTGCTGACCATAGCCATTTCCAAGAAATACAGAATAATATGATTCAAATACAATTAAGATGTTGACTACCCATTTCTACATGTTAAAAAGAAGTTATTAATCTGAAAGGATAGAGAATACAACCCACTATGAAGTTTGGAATTTAAAAAAAAAAAATTTTTTTTTTTTGAGATAGTGTCTCTGTCTCCTACGCTAGAGTACATCGCAGCTCACTGCAACCTTAAACTCCTGGGCTCAAGCGATCTTCCTGCCTCAGTCTCCAGAGCAGCTGGGACTAGAGGTGCACACCAGCAAACCTGGTTAATTTTTCCTTCTTTTTTTTCTTTTTTTTGTGAGACTAACTCTCACTTTCTTGCCTCTAGTAGAGTGCCACAGTATCATAGCTCACAACAACCTCAAACTCTTTAGCTCAAGTGGTTCTCTTGCCTCAGCTTCCCAAGTAGCTGGGACTACTGGTGCCTGCCACAATGTCTAGGTATTTTTTTAGAGACAAGGTCTCGCTTTTGCTCAGGCTGGTCTTGAACTCGTGAACTCAAACGATCCACCTGTCTCAGCCTCCCAGAGTCCTGGGATTACAGGCATGAGCCACCATGCCCAGCCCAATTTTTCTATTTCTTATTGAGACTAGGTCTTGTTCTTGGCTCAGGCTGGTCTCTTGCCTCAGCCACCCAGAGTGCTAGGATTATAGGTGCAAGCCACTGAACCTGGCCTTGAAAGCATATTTCAAATTAAGAGTAAAATTTTCAATCTATTAAAAAAAATATTGGTGTTAAGATAAACATAAAGTTTTAAGTCCCTAAAATAAAGGTGTGCTTAACAGAAATTCATTTTTGTTTTGTATTTTTATATTTCTTTTTTTTAATTTTTTAGAGACAGGATCTTGCTCTGTCACCCAGGCTGGAGGGTAGTGCCTAGTAGTTCAATGTAACTTCAAACTCACGGGGTCAAGTGATCCTCCTGTCTTAGCCTCACAAGTAGCACAACAGCCATGTACCACCTGGGCCTGGCCCCATTTTTGAATGTGTGAGTAATAGAAAATGTTGACTCAAGTCAGTGACAAAAATATAGAATAAAGAAAATTCAAACAGTAAACATCATGCAGCTTAATTTTACCATTCAAATTCCAGTGTACATCGGTTTTGTCCGTTTTAACAGAAACAATAAAGATATGAAAACCATCTCTTTGTGTTCTGGCTATAACATCCTGAAATAGAGGGAAAAAATCCTTTAATTTATTTTTTTTACAAATTGCTATATATCACTCAACAATTGTATGTTCAAATTAAAAATAATTTTTGGTAACTCAATTAGGTTACTTTTAAAAAGCATAAACAAATAAGACAGACAAAATAAAGGAATGGTATGCAGGGGAAGGGTAGACATTTCCCCCATTTTTTAACCAGTATCCTCCCAGATCCAAAAGGTTAAGAAAGACAAAAGCTTTTCTCACTCTTCAATGTTTTCTGTCTTTTACATTTCTATAGGTTCCTTGTAATATTACCATCAATGTAATTATTTAATATTATCACACATTATTTTTCTAATATTACTTTTCTCATATCATTAAACATTTAGTTTTATTAAGAATTAAATGTGCA